CAAATTTAAACTTCTATGAGTTGCATTAATTTTCTACCCATTTTCAATTTTTTAATACTCAAATTTCCTTTTTATTTTTTCATGGAAAATTTATTAGTTTATTCAAAAATATAAAATATAGAACATGCGAACATGCATTTACAAATTTTGAAACCTGAAAACGCATGTGTGCAGTGTTATCGTCACGCCATGATTTATACGTACTTTATTTTTTACCACGATATTTTCGACGGGGATGTTTTTAAACTGCGAAGTTTTTGAACCGCTTTATTTTCGACCACGATATTTTGTACCATTAGAACTGCGATGCTTGCTTTTCTGCCAGGATGTTTTGTACCGCGACGTTTTCGCATTTGGTTGTTTTCTTCGCGATGTTTTCGACAGACACCGTCAAATTGATGTGAGTGTGTGAACCTGCCTTTCCATCACGACAATATATTAACAATTTGAAAATAGGGGGATCCATTGAGGAAAAAACCTGTGTGTATTCCGACGTAGTAGGTCCTTTTGCGAATGGTTCTTTTACTGATTCCAGAATGTTAAATAATTTCCACGCAAGTCTTTTCTTCCCGAGAATTCGAGATTTATCTTCGGTTTTTAACTTTCCCACATCTCATTTATAGCAAAAGAATGTATTGCTGGAGTATATTACAATATCTATTCTGCGCCCACCAGCGGCCGAGCGGTAATGTCGCTGAACACTGGTAGTTCGGTCCGAGGTTCGAATCCCGCGAACGGGCTGGCTGCATGGGTGTTTTCGTGGTTTTCCCCATGTGTAACGTGTATACGAGCCAGTTTCCCTTAGAAAGTCCTCCACGAAAGGCATCCGTCACCCTTAGGCAGATAGCCCTAGTGTGCTTTGCCATAATTAAATACACCACACCACAATATGTATTCTCAGTATCGTAATTAAAAAACAACGGAACGAGTAAAATTGCTAAAAAGAACTGAGTAATGGTCCTAAGAGAGATATTGAATGCTCTGACGAAATATATTTACTAGAAAATTTGAATTTGATCCTGAATGTATACAGAAACCTGTTTTAGGTCAAAAGTTTGAAATTTGATGGGTAATTGTAAATATGAAATTATTCATCTTAAAATATTTGGGATAAGGCACATAGGTTAGGTTTTTTTTTTTAAAATAGGGTAAAGCGTGCAAGCGATCTGCGAAACGAAAGAGATGCCATCGCGAAAGACGTTCGAAGAAAAACTGACTATGAGGAGAAAATTAAAAATATTGCAAGTAATTTTTATTCAGTTTATATGTATGCATATTTCTTATGTAAAAATTCTAATGTTTGCTAAGTTTTTGTAAATTACTTTAGTTGAAAAATGTAGCGAACGCCCAGAAATTAAGGATTTGTACATGGCAAAAATGATAAATATTAAATATTCTATAAAAGTATTTATGTACATCCTTGTACACATCTGCTTTTAACTAAATACGTAAATATTCATTACATGATTTATAAATGCATCTCCTGGAAATTTTATTGCGAAGAAATCTGGTTATTAAATATATAAAAATTTATACTGATTATAAATATCATCTAATTATTTACTAACTGTAAAATTTTATTGCAAATATTAATTGAAATTATGTTAAATACATTTATAAAAATTTTAAGAAAGAATTGTTTGTACTGGAAAAGAATCTGTTAGAACGTGTAAAGCAGAGTCCATGAGATATGTATTTAATCGTAGTCTAAAGTAGAATTTTTAGAATATTTATTGCTGAAATCAAGAGTAAAAAAAATAATGATAAATATTAATTCTTTCGTTACGTTTTATAATAACATAGTTGCAAGTTTTAAGTAATATTAATAAACCCCCTTTTTTTATCCGTTTCAGAAATAGTTAAGTGCACGGATATAAGTAATCGGAAGCAATATTTGATGTATTTCATTATAATAAAAGGTGCTTTAATTTCAAATAAACCGAACAGAGCATTAATTTAGATTGCAATGACGTTTTGATGTAATACCTCAAGAGCTGAAAATCATCTCATATTTGAAAACGTATTTCGGAAAGGAACTCTGTAAATAGAAAAGAAATAATGCGTGATTTCATTATTAATAGTATAGTAAACTTCGATTTTAAAATTTGTAATCGCTAATTGAATAAAACCTAATTATCTTAGAATTTCTTTCAAATTTCATTAGCATTTCATTGAAATTAAACTTTTCTGAGTAAAATGTTCTGGGAAACGTAGAGCATTTAATTCGGTTCAGAATGAAATTTTGTTTAAATATATATTCTTTGACATACTTGGAATTCTGAACTTATGTAGGAAAAAAAATATGTATACTGCGCAAAAAAGGGGGACACTTCTATATTTACTGGGCCGATTGACGAAATTCAACTTGCGTGTCTCACCTTTCAAAAGCGTGACTTGGATTATGTATTAGATTTATATATAGCATTTCTCTAATATAGGTATTTTGACACAAAATCGGATTATTTCTGAAATGACATACAATTTGCTTTTCCATATTTCGATTCTACGATTCAAATTATGACAATCTGCCAGTTTTGTGAAAATCGCACCAGTCGTTTTTAAAAAATTAGCTCTCAAAATTTTTGCTCCTCAATGTTAACTGAATTTGATATATTTTTATAAATATCTCTTTTCTTAATTAATTTACTTGACTCCTTCTTCCAGTATTTAAATTTCGGCTTAATGCAAATATAATTCGCAAATGTTTTGATTTATTTTTATAATTTAAATTTTAAAATATTTTTTATAAATTTTTCGAAAATCATTTTGTATTATAACCTATAAAATATTTAACATCGTCTTAAATTAGATATATTTCTATAGGCATATCTGCAAAAAATTCCTTTTTTTATTCAAAATTTCCTACTATATACGGGAATTTACATAGTGGCGCGTTTTGAAATTTGAAATATTTGTTATAAGCGATAATAAATCCAAATATGGTTTACGCACTTTGTTAAAGTTTTCCGCTCGATTAGAATGAAAAAAAGGAAAGGTAAATAGGTTGCTATAAATTAAGAAGTTCGTCAAGTGACTTCGTCAAGCGAAAACTGATTAAAATGTTCGTCAAGCGAAAACTGATTAAAATGTGCCAAAATAAATTTTTGAATTTCTCCATAAATTTCGCACCAAATTGTACAAAAATTTAGTATTTAGACATAATTTGAGTTGTAGAATCGAAATATGGAAAAAAATTGGCATGTCATTTCAGGAAAAGTCCAATTTAGGGTCAAAATACCCATGTTATAATAAATCTCTGTATAAATCTAATATATATATTCTAAGTCACTCTTTGGAGACATGAAAAACGCTAGTTGAATTTCGTCAACTGGCCCAGTTGAGCGGAATATATATAACTGTCCTTTTCTTGCGCAGTGTACATTTATGCTTATATTTATGATGCAATTACAAAATGTTTACCTCCCATGTTGCCAAAAGCTATTTACTTTAATGGTAAGTCAGGAAATGTTTTAGTCACCATGAGAGGTGTGTTACTACTTGAAGAGATTGTATGTTTTCCTTATTTTTGAATTTATAGAGTTTCTTTCTGAAATACATTATCAAATATAAGATGAATTTCAGATTCTGAGGCACTAAATGAAATATCATCGCAATTCTATAATTAGTGCTTTGTTCGGTGTTCAAGTTAGAGCACCTTTTCTTATAATGAAACACATTAAATATAGCTTCTGATTTTGCTGTTAACGTTCAATGAATATTTCTGAAACGGATAAAATGTATTATATCATTTGAAACTTGTAAGTGAGCTATTATAAAATGCAATGAATATATATCTTTTAATACTTATCAATTTTTTATCCTTGACTTCAGCAATACGAATTCTAAAAATTATACTTTATAACATGCTTAAAATAACCCATCTTGTGGACCGTGCTTTCCATCCTAACCCATTGTTTTCCAATAAAAATTCTTACTTTTACAAATATATTTTTCACCAGAATTTAATTTTGTTTACAATGATATTTTATAATTATAAATTGTATATGTTTAATAGCTAGCTTTTAATAACTAGATCTATGTCCACTATAACATTTGCGGTGCGGTGCGTGCGTCTGGTCTGGTCTGGTCTGGTCTGGTCTGGTAGTTTCGGTCCGAGGTTCGAATCCCGCGAACGGGCTGGCTGCATGGGCGTTTTCGTGGTTTTCCCCATGGGTCCTAGAGCCATCCAATTTTATCCAATCCTTCTGCGAATATGGCATCTGGAAAACAAAATTTAAATTTTGGAATTTGTTTTACTATCGATGTCGTATTTTGTAACACTTTAACGAATTTTTGATTACGAAAACTCAAGAATTTCAAAGCGAGCCATGGCAACGTTGTACAGAACAAAAACATTTTTATCTCGAGCGCGCGCGAAACTGTGTATCGAAAATTTTAAAGATATGCTCATTATAAAATTATTTTGCGATATTACTCTTGGACTGAATTTTTTGGTTTACGTGCGAAGAACATGATATTTAATAAATAAAGGTAACACACAAAATGTTAAAAATCTCTCCTTTGGACGTAATTTAAAATCTGAAATCTTTCAGATTTTTCTTTTTTATACTTTATTTTCATATGTCAAGGGGCTATTATGAAATGGGTCACTCGGTGTCCCGCGGGTCGTAAGTTACCGAGGCCTGATTTACACTCTAATTAGGTAAATACGCAGGATATAAAATACGTATTAAATAGTTAGAGGAAATTTGGTGTAAATTATAAAATATAATACACTCTGCTTAAACTGCTAATTGCATCTATTACAAAACATACTTTTCTCAGGTATTTTATCCAAATCATTTTTACGTCTGTACGTTTTGAATTTTGCCTTTCCAAAAAAGTACTGACTTTTCTAATCCTCAACGGTAATGTAAATTTATTATTAAATTTCAGTCTTTCAAAAACAGTTCAGAGTTAAGTTCAATTTATGTCTTTGGCGAAATCAAATGAAGAAAGTTTCTGATTTCTCTAGTTAATGTTTATTTTTTCTTTTTTAGATGGATTCCGGAATTATCCGTGATACTCAGGAGATCGTGAGGCATCCAGATCAGCTGGAGTCTTCGTCATCATTCATCAACATACCCCTCACCTCCCATCATCTGCCGCCAGGAGATATTAGACTCACGTGCGCAGCCTCCATCGCAGACGTTGTCACCTCCGTCAGTGAGGAGCTTCTCATTAACAGACCGATGCCCGAGAAGGTTCTCGAGCTGAAGAACGCCGCCTGGCTCCTCACAGCGTCTCACTTAGTCACCATGCTCATCACCATCATGCTTCATATCTTGATGAGAACATGCTGTGTTTAGTTCGAAATGATCGTTTGTTATTTATTCTTGCGTGTGTGTGTGTGCATGTTCTTGAAGCTCAAATTAAAGTTTCTTTTTATCGTCATTTCCTTACCTTTATTTACAATATTACGCAATTTTTCATTATTAATTCAATTTCTTCTGACATGTGGAAACGTAAAGGACATCTTTTGTACACTGCACAAACAAAATCTGATGTGTAAACCACATGACTTCCTTGTACGGAATATTAAATTATACGCATTTCTTGGATTTCGTTTAAACTTATTGGGTTGAATTAAATCTACTTCGCCGAAATTTACATCATTTAAAGAATTATCTAATCGTTGCCGCATGTTCTGTTCAAGAACTATAATAAAGCTAGAACGATGTATAAAAGAAATTAAGAAAACAAAAAAAGAAAACAGTTTTTTACAGACGATTGAGTATTTATCATTCAATTAATTCAGTTCTCACTTCGCGAGAAGGCAAGAATACATGAAAACTCAAAACATCTATATTAAAAATTACGAAGTAAATCTTAAACGCTTATTTCCTCGAAAAAATTCAAGAAAGAATTAAGCATGATTTAATTGGCAATAATAAATGAAAGCGTTATCTTTGTTATTGCGAAGCTAAGTTTCTCTAGATTGGCAACAAATCCACTAGTCTCCTGTTCCAAATGTAAACGTCAATAGCCGCCATCAAATTAGGCTTAGCGGCACTTAAACAATTTTAAAATTGTTGATAATTCTAAAAATATTGCACACAGATGTACTAAAGGCATAAAATCCTTAACCGGAAGATAAAAACAGCATAATTCAATCATTTTTAAAGCAAAAAATGTACAATTTACAAACATATAAGAGTAAAGAAACTGAGATTACTGAGCCGGATAACAGAGTGGATATATTTATAAATATATTTATATACCTTTGGTGCGGCCGATTGAAACCAAAATATGAAGTGCACATCTACATGTCATAGTATTCTTATATACAAAATTTCAACGTTCTGACGCTACTCGTTTTTGAGTTATGCGACATACGTACGTACAAACGCCAGGAAAAATTCTCTTTAGAATTCATTTTAAAGCAGTTTTTTAGTTTTATGGAGGAAAAGAGTCTTTTATTCTGTCCTTACGTACAGATATCAAGCAAAAACATCGTTAAATTGCATTCCAAAGCGGTCAAAGTGGATATTTTCGTTAAAATATGCTGCCTGGAGCTTTTCGTGATTACAATACTTCCTTTTTACTTCCTTTTTACTTCGTACAAGGAAGTAAAAAGAGATATTAATAAATATATATCCAATACGATTAACATTGAAGAGCTAAAATTTAGAGAGCTACTCGAGCTGCTACTACTGCACTACTTTCAACTACTCGTGCGAATTTTACAAAACTTGGCAATTTGCCATTATTTGAGTCGTAGAATCGAAATATGGAAAAAAAAGTTGGCATGTCATTTCGGAAAAAGTTCAATTTTGCGCCAAAATACCCGTGTTAGAATGATGCTATATAAAATCTAATACATACCCTAAGTCGTGCTTTCGAGACATGAAAAACGTAATTTGAGTTTCGTCAATCGGTCCAGTAGAACGGAAGACATAGAACTGTTTCCCCCCCTTTATTTTTTTTTCCGCAGGGTACATGTGGAGTTAAAAAAGACAAAGAGGGAAACTTTACACTTACATCAGATATGATTAATTTAGAAGTCAAACAACAAAAATCAGCGTTGTTGTTCGGCGTGTTATTGTATCTTAATTATCAGATCTGATATTTAAAGCAATTGGTATTATGGCTACCTCACAAACACTTGAAAGTGACTTCTAATCGTAAGTTTAACATAATGAAAAAAACTTTAGCTTTTGTTTTTTTGAACAACGATTCTCTGTTATGAAATGCTAAGAAAATGACATGTTAATATCTTTTAGCTAGATTAAAGTCAACAATATAGTATAATTTTGCATCAGGACTTCCACTACGAAGACTACTAATGCATGCAAAATTGTCTTATGTTCATATACACGAGCCGGCATAGCAAACTGGAATATTTCTTTGCCGTTCCTAACGAAGCAAACGATTATTGAAAGAGAAATAAATCTGAGAAATAATAAGGAAGATCGAAACTGCTAAATTAATTTGATAAAGTCAAATCCACTAAGCAAATTTGTGCACAAATAAAACTATAGCATATTAGAGTGACAGACTAAATCTTTTTTCAGTCCATCGAATAAAAACCGCATGCTGTATCGCTGCAATTAAATAATGTCCCTTCGATTGTCGACATTGTCTTTTAAATTTTGGCGATGAAACCTCACTTCTGGTTACCACGATAGTTTTAACTTTGTTTTAGCTTCCCAATTTTATTTAAATGAAAATAGATTGATGTGTACATGGTCATATTTAAGTCAGTGCGCAATGCCTAGTTTGTGCAATTCTAGGATGTTTTTTTAAGTAAAAACAGATCGATGTGTACATGGACACAGATCTTATGCAATTCTTCGACTTCTTATTTTGGTTTTGTGTAGCGGCCATCTTGAAATTGTGACTTCCTGGCGCCGATCTTGGCGTCAAAAAAGAATCGCCAATAAACAAGGGGCACCCAATTGTAAACTTTTACCAAATAATGAATTTAGTGCGTTATGAAAGCCTTCACAACAATTTGTGATTTTAGGAGATTTTTCGAAGTCTGCTTCATAATGTTCAACTGAGAGTCATCATCGAAGTGCCTAAAAATGTTAATTTTATCCCTAAACTTTTAAATTTCTGCAGAAATTTTACAACGTTTTTAGTTCCAAACTTACATTCAAACATTATATTCTATAGTTACACATCAAAAGTACGCAAATATAGAGTAAAAAACTAAAATTAATTATCGGCAGTTACAAGGAAAAAATGTCGTACAGGGGCAGTGGTATAAAATAAATACAGTACATGCAAAATTTAACTACAATTTTCATATTTTTATTTATCGACCCTGAAAAGGTTAATGTGAGCATTTATCTATGTGAACATATTTCATGTGAGCTCTTTTCTATGTGGGCATATTTCCTTGTGACCTTTTTTTCCTGTGAGCTTTTATACCTGTGAGAATTTTTCCTGTCGCCGTTATTTTACACAAAGCTTATTAACGAAGCCTAAAAATTTAACATAGCTTTCTTCATACATTCGAATATTCTTCAATTTTTCTCACACGCCTTTTATGTTTTCGTGAGATTCAAAGATAGCTTAGCTTCCCTTCAAAGAGAAAAACCTACTGTTAGGTTTTTGTCTCAAAGAACGACGCAATTTCAGGATCCCATTACATCCAAAGCATTTCTTAAGAAGACTTAAATTTCGATTCCAAAAGAAAAGAACATTACATTATTTATAGTCTCGTTTTTACATCCATGGTATCGTTGAAATTTTGCGGATTCATGCTCTCGATTGGAAATTTTAAGCGAAAGGGGAAAACCAAAGGAAGTATCTGTTTACTATTTTGTGTTTTCTGAAGTTTGATTCCCGTTTGTGAATATTTCATTCGTATTTCCACGAGGAAAGATTGCTATGATATAATGGGATGAAAGAGCTGCTGTGCTGCGTACTTTTATCTTAACAAATATATCTTATTATGAAATGCGTTGAAAAGCGAATGTAAATCAGATCATTATAAATTAAGGTATCATTAACTACTTATAAATTTCTCCAAGAGCAAATTTCAGTATATTGTTAACATTAAAAATAGTGCTTATATGTTATGAACAATGCTCCAATGTTTTTGCTTTCTTTATTGATTCTCGCTCCAATCCATATTTCATTTTTCATGAAGCTTAATCATCAATTTATTACATACAAGAAAATTTAATTTTCACTTTTAGCGAGAGCAGATTCTTTTAAGTTTGATAAGATAACATTACCTAAAAATTATCTAACAAATTTAACTTGATGGTTTCCATAACTTGACGATTTTTATCTGCGACTCTACTTAAATTACCTATCGTGTCATATTATTGCCCTTGGTATTCATTTCGTTTTGAATGCGGCGTGCTGAAATTTAGCCGATTTGGAATTATTTAATCATGGCAAAGCACACGAGGGCTCTCTGTCTAAAGGGAGGGATGCCTTCGTGGAGGACTTTCTAAGGAAAACTGGCTCGTATACAAGTTACGCATGGGGGAAAATCACGAAAACGCCCATGCAGTCAGCCCGTTCGCGGGATTCGAACCTCGGACTGAACTACCAGTGTTCAGCTGCTTTACCGCTCGGCAGCTGATGGACCCTGAAATTTAGCCGAACAACATTGTTGTTATAGTAAAGCATGTGTTTTTTATATCACTCTGATTATGTTGCCTTCACTCACTAGCAAATGAAGAAGGCAGTTCTGTTATAAATACCAAATGTAATTCAATTAGTTCAAAATGAAAACTTTTATTGCTTCTTGTAAATTACGCTGATTTGATCTGAAGTGCCATTTTTAGTCCTTTTCTTAACTACAATTGGAGTTTTCTCTTTTAATTGAGTTACCTCCTTCGATAATTTTTAAAATCTTAATTTAAAATTTTAAGCATATTATGAAGATAATAAAAGTATCAAGTTTACGTTCACTTAGAGGGAAAAAAAGCCGTACATGTCAAACTTTTACAGAATTTCCTAATCTAAAACTAACAAAACATTTTAATCATGCACCTGCTACCTTTGAAATGCTTTGGATTTGTCACCCAATAAATTATGACTTATAACATTTATATTTTTATTTAAAAAAATTTCATTCAAAAATGCATATGAAAATAATTTTACGGCGAAAATTCGACACTCTTTATATCTACAAGATTAGAAAAAAACGCCGAAACACATGTGAAGAGTACAGTAACTATATTTAACCAAAATTTCTGTTTTTATTGTAATTTCTACATATTTTATATGGGAAAAACTTTGCTTGTGAATATATTTTCTTTCAAAGAACAGTCACGAATAAGCATCATCATGAGGTGCCTAATGGCATCATGAGGTGGTTTAGGCAAGTTGCAGCTATCGATAAAAACACATTACTTAAATTCACATTTAAGTTATGCGTCTGATTACAATTCTACAAATTTCATTTACAAGTTCGCCGGAAACGTTTGGTGTCAGCAAAGAATAGATAACCCAAAACTTACTGGTGTATCCTGATACTTTTTTAAACCAAAATGGTAGGTAAAAGATTTAATAAAATGGCAACCAAATTAT